TATCTATCTATCTATCTATCTATCTATCTATCTATCTATTTATCTATCTATATACCTATTAATCTATCATTCTTTTTCTTATATTTTAATGTAATTACATTATTATTATTATTATTATTATAAAGTAGACTATTTAAATCTGGACACTTTTTTCTACTTCTTTTATTTTTAAATGTTAAAACGTAACATGCCGATATGTAAATTACCCATATGACGCCATAACCGAAGGAGATACCGTAGGAATGTGATACGAGTGAAAGTACTGTAGTCTGAATTTTAAAGAAGCATGCAGGTCGGTCTCTCTCTTTCTCTCTCTCACTCTCTCTGTCTATCTATCTATCTATCTATTTCTCTCTGTCTCTCATTCCACTCGTCGTCGACACAAGTTTCCTATCGAGTTGTTGCTCGAGCAGCTCAAGAAGTAGATATAAGGTCAGGAGGATAGTCGAATGAGACGTAGAAAATTACTCTGGGGAATACTACCTCTTAAATAGATGAGAAAAAAGTCTTCATATGTTATATTTCGAATCCAATATGAAGAAAATATTATTCGAATATATTTCGATAGATATTTTTCGATATTATATGTATCATCTTATATCAATTCCTTTATTTTTTTTTTTATTCCTTTTTAATAAAACACATAGATTTCATACATATCTGTGTATTTTCGGACTCCTTTCATCGATTCCTTCGATTAACAAAAAAATAAAAAAAAAATAAAAAGAAAATAAATAAATAAAAATAAATAAAAAAGAAGATATAAATAAGGAAAAAGCTATCATAATCGCAATGATTATTTTTGAAACGATGACCTTGATAATACGATAATACGTCTCTTTCTCTGTTTTTTTTTCAAATAATCGAAAATACATATATACATCGGACGACACTATATGCGTCGAATATACCTATGTATGTATTGTTATCGATCAATAAGGCAACTGGCGATCGATGAGTACTTTGAATTACGATCGAAAGATAATTTTGTCGATTCGCATGAACATCTGTAAATACATATATGTGCTTCGAAAATAACTATCTCCATCCTGACGAGTTACCAAGAATTATGTAAATTCGCAATCAAATCGATCCTTCCCGTTCGGCCAACATCGACAATTCTCTAGGGTAGAACCGATGAATCACGATGCAAGGATCAATTATTTCAAGGATATTACGGGAATCTCTAGCTTCTCGTAATTCCTACATGAATTTTCAATTATTTACAAAAATAAGAAATCGAATATAAATGACAATGTGATATAATGATTAATTGTTATTGAAATATATCGTAAAATAAAAAAATAAAAATAAAAAAGACAAAAGCTATGATGTATTTCAACGGCGAACAATTTCTCGAAGAATCCCCAATAAAAATAAAGAATAAAGTTAATAAATATGAAATGATGATATAATAAATAGAATCGTAATTAAAAAAAAAAAAAAAAAAAAAAAAAATATATATATATTTTGCAAAATACGAAAGTAAATAAAAAAAAAGAAGCTTCGTTGTGTTTCTTCAACGAATAATTCCTCGATAGATTTCTGATAAAAATGTGAAATAAAATCATAAGATATCGAACGATACGACGTAATAAATGATCGCTACTAAAACATGCGTCGTATATAAGTATATTATAAAATAAAAAAATAAATAAGACAAATGTTGTCTTATTCCTCGATAGATCTTTTATAAAAATGAAAAATGAAACTGAAAACAAGATATTAAACGATATGATATAATAAATAATCATTAATAAAATATACGTAGTACATATGTTGTAAAATAAAAAGGTAAATAAGAAAAAAGATGTATAGTGTTTTTTCAACGAATAATACCATTATGAATCCTTCACAGTAAAAATAAAAAAGTAAAAAGTAAAAAAAATGAGATAACAACTATACAAAAAGATATGACATAATAAATGGTTATTATTAAAGTACGTGTAAGTACATACATTTTTAAATAAAAAAATAAAATAAATAAATAAGAAATACACAAGGCTATGTTGTATTTTATCAACGAACTGGCAAATGACATGATTTGTATATTCTGGCAAGTATTATGGGGGTCTAGGCGACTCTCATCTCCGTTTAACTTCTGACTTCAGATTCTAGTTTAACTCGGTGTCTCTCCTTATATACACGGATATTTACGCCTAATGATGTCAGCTCTAATAGCAAGAGTGGGATCGTGCGAGCACGATTTTATTACCGCTCGCTTAGTCTAAAGGCGCCCATAGAAATAAATCTCAATGATCCGAAGACGCGACGTCTTTATACCCGTTTCACTATGTTTATACTACCGAGAACGTAGTGGAGTGCGAACTGGTGAAAAAAATAGCGAGAGAGAGAGGGGGGGGAGGGAGAGAGAGAGAAAGAGAACAAACATTAAAACCGTTGAAAGAAAGAAAAAGAAAACGTAGTATACAATAACAATTTGTTTATAACTTCGTAGTAAATCATAAGTTATCTTTCGAGTGAGATCATGAAAGAAAGTTTCTCGTTCGTAGATCTTCTTGTTTCTTTTGTTTCTTTCTTTCTTTTTAGGTATAAAAATAAAATTTTACGTTCTAGATAAAAATAGAAATAAATTTCAGGAGAAATTAAATTCTGTTGATGCTGCTTAGACGAAAAATAGTAATGCGCAAACTCGAGCATCTACTGATGCTATTGCTGCAAGCACGTGCTTTAGCGTACACGTTTCAAACGAGAGATAGAGAGAAAGGGGGCAGAAAGAGAAAGAGACAGAAAGAGACAGAAAGAGAGAGAGAGAGAGAGAGAGAGAGAGAGAGAGATATCTCTCGCGATGAATTGTCCTCAATGCGTCGAGAGCCGCTTTTCCCTTTAACTCGACGAGAGAGCTCGCTGCATGTCGTTGCTGAAAGTCATACCCTGTACTCGTATACTATACTAGCTACATAGTATGCTCAGTATAGTATACGAGTTCGAGTAGTAGTATGCTTGGTACTCGTAGAAAAACATGAATATTTCTTTGAATATATTGTCTTCTTTCTGTTTTTTTTTTTCAATCTCCACTTTACAAAATCACTAACTTACCGTGTATAATCATATATCATATCATATATACATGTGCATGCATGTACGTACTTACGCGTTAGTGTGTATGTATGTAGATATACGGGTACGAAAAAAAATCATTGAAAATGTATACCGAACGATTTAATTAAAATTTCATTTCAAATTGTGCTAATAGATTTAGATGAAATCTCATATTCGAAAAGAAACTCTTTCTCTTTTTTTCTCTTTCTCTCTTTTTTTTTTCGACGAAATAATACTTGTAAGTCTACTACCAGGATCCCATTAAATGTGCAAAAAGCGAATTAAATGAAATAACCAGCCTCCAATTTTCACGGTACTCTTAACGACGCACATAAAAAGAGAGAAAGAGAGAGAAAGAGAGATAGAGATAGATAGATAGATAGATAGAGAGAGAGAGAGAGAGAGAGAAAGAGAGAGAGAGAGAGAGAGAGAGAGAGAGAGACAGAGATAGAAAGAGATAGAGAGTTTTGCTTTTAAATGTGGCGTAACTTTACAAAATAAAAGCCTAAAAGGAATAACATAAACAAAAGAAGAAAAAAAAATGAAAAAGAAGAGAAAGAAGAAAATTTGATGTCCTAAGGAAAATACTAATCATAAATGCAAAGCTTTTTCTCACTCTCTTTACTTCCCTCCGGCCAACCCATTTCTTCTTTACTGCCTCTCTCTCTCTCTCTCTCTCGACTTTGTTTTTCAAGTGATAGCAATTCGCAAAGCGAGAAAATCGTCATGAGAAATCGTCGATCCACGTATGTTCCTGCATTTTTTTCTTTAGGGTATCTCCGCTCGCCTCTCTCTCTCTCTCTCTCTCTCTCTCTCTCTTCCTCCTTGTTTCTCCGTCTTTCTTGCATCTACCCTTTCCTTCGTTTTTACTTCCCAAGAGCCGTTCCTGTACGACGATGTCTGGCAGGCCAGAATGAAAAACGGGCGGTTGTATTTCTCGAAGAGCGAGCGTTTCGTCTTTTTTTTCTTTCTTTTTTTTTGTCAGATCTCTTTAAAACCGCAATGAAGTTCACGAAGGAGAAACGAAAAAAGTTCTTCTTTTCGGTACCGTTTGCAATTACATTCCCTCCTACTTCGACCCTCTCTCCTTTCTTTATCTCTCTCTTCTCTCTCTCTCTCTCTCTCTCTCTGTCTCTCTCTTTCTCTCTCTCTCTCTCTCTTTCTCTCTCTCTCACTGTCTCTCTCTTTCTCTCTCTCTCTCTTTCTTTTCCTTCTCTTCTCCCTCTCTATCTTTCTTGATAGCGTTTCACAGCTTGGAATGGAAAATCAAATAAAATTGAAGAAACAGGGAGAGAGAGAGAGAGAGAAAAACTGTATCGAAATATTATATAAATATATATATATTAATATATATATATATAAATATATATATATAAATATATAAATATATATATATATTTATCTGTTAGTTAAATATAATTACTTGCTGATCCTTTCACCGTCTTCAACTATTTTCATGAAACGGAAAGAGATTTGTTTGGGTGCTGTCTTTGAAGGCTATTATCCGAATGCCGATCGTAGCATAGAACGAAGTTCAAAGTTCAAACGTGCCAAAGATAGTTGGCTCGTTCTCCAAGTTCTTTTCCCTTTGCTCTCTTAGCCAGAACTATTCAAACGCTTTACCATCTATTATTTTCTATCTTTTTTGTCTTTTACAGTGTCTAAGTACTCTAAGGAAAATATATATATATATATATATATATATATATATATTCTTATAGACATGTATGTGTATATACGCCGTTTCTCTCAGACATTCTAACAGGTTCGATAAATACTTAAGTGCTATACTTAATAATGTCGTTCAATCTATAGATCCTTAAAAATGATCGATCATGACCGCACTTAAAAATTGTATATAGAATAGTTAGACTCATTGGTTAAGGACCTCGAGGCGGGAAAATTAAATAGAAAAATCGGGTCTATTCGTCTCTAACCTGCGAGAGTAATTTCGGCAAGGCATGCGCATGCGCATGATTGCCATGACCAGAACTGGCTCTCTGTTGCTGTTGCTGCGTCGTTGTCGTAGCTGCTCCAGCTGCTGCTGTTGCTGTTGCTGTTGTTGCAGTTGCTGTTCCTCCTGCCTGTTGGCCGGCCTCCGATCTAAGATCGTGCCTCCAGCGCAGTACTCCCATCATAACCGTGCTTCTTGTCCTCCTCCTCCTCCTATCTCTCTCGCTCTCTCTCTTTCTCCCCTCTTCGTTCCCTCTCTCGAATGCGCCCTTCGATCTCGACGCAGGAACCCAACCTGACGTCGTCGAGTTCGCTGCCGCCACCACAGCCGTTCCTGCCGTGTTGCTGTTGTTTTCTCGGGACTCGAGATTCTCAGCTTTCCTTAACTACTAGATGGGAATAAGAGAAGACACCGAGATACTCGACTGGAAGTAATAGTCTAACCGTTGTAGTTGGATGTCTACTCTTTTCTTGACTCTTGCCGTTTTCTCCTCTCTCTCTCTCTCTCTCTCGCTCTCTCTCTCACTCTCTCTCTTTCTCTCTCTCTCTCTCTCTCTCTCTCTCTCTCTCTCTCTATTTCTATCTCTCTTCACTTGAAACGTCAGTGTATTCCTTTCTCTCTCTCTCTCTCTTTTCTCTATTATCTCTGTCTTTCTCCTCTCGGAATGCAAGAGATCGGAGAAGGACGTTAGCCTTAACTACGGACGGAAAGAGGAACTACTAACGACAGGTAACTCTACTACTACTACGAGTTACGAGGATCGAGACTCGAAGACGCACCAATGTCCGACCTCTTCGTCCGTCGATGAACGGCAACGTTCAAGTCCCGCCAGGACATCGCGAGAGTGTCCTCTTGAACGAAGAGACGTGACCGAGGTGTACAAGAAGATCGTTCGAAAGTTATCACTATGAACACCAACACAACCACAACTTATACGTCTCCTCTCTCTCTCTCTCTATCTATCTATCTCTTTCTTTCTCTCTACATCTAAGCAGCGAGGTCAGAATAGAAAGTGTTTACTTGCGAGTTAACGTGACCGCACCAAACGATCATGAAGTTTACCGTAGAACGTCACTGCGACAACTACTCGTGCGATCGCGCGGTTCGAGCCGACTACCCGTCGAGACCGAGACGTCCCTCCTTTCTGCTCCCCACCACCGTCCTTCCCCTACCTCGCTCCTCTAGCCCCTACGCTCCTTCGATGCACCATGGAACAAACGTTGCCATGGTCGCCGATCGCGCGTTCGCGACCTCCTTCTTCTTTCTCCTACCATGGGAATTCTTTTCGATAACGATCGCCAATTAAATGAATAAATTCTCTCCTACTTCTCTCTTTCTCTCTTTGTTATAGTTGCCCTTTTCGTACATGACTCGAGATTACGCGCCAATATTCTCGAATCTCGATTGGTCGCCATTGCGTTTGGTGACTGAAATGGCGGGAATTTTTGAATGACATTGTAATTATTATATGTTGTAATATTATAATTATTGGTATATATATATATAAATTATATTATATATATTATATATATACTACATATATATATGTGTAAATATATATATATATATATAAAATATACTATATTATAATTATGAATATAATTCTCTCTCTCTCTCTCTCTCTCTCTCTCTGTGTATGCGTATGTGTGTATATACACTTACATGCTGTGTACTATATATATATATATACTATATACAAATACCACACGCGCACACACACACGCACGCACACAAAGCAATTTTGAATGATGTCTTGCGGTTGAAACGACTCGGTTTAATATTTTTCTCTTATAGACCTATTTTCAAATATTTTAAATGATACTACTGATCCTATATTGGATAATTTGGAGAGTAATTGGATTTTTTTTTTTTTGAAAGCTTCAGTAGGTACATTGTAAATGTAATTTAACCGATGTCCAAAATAAAATATATATATATATTTGTAAACGAATATGAATAATTAATTATAATACCGAAATAAAACCAAAATATAATCATAGATTTTTGTTACAAAAAAACAAAGGGAAAAAAAATATCTTTCCATGTAAAACGTCATTATGCCCGAACTGTTCAAGTGAGATGATCCATAAATTAGGGTGTCATGGTCCAAATAAAGAGAAAAAAAAGGATATCGAACATAAAAGTACGTAGGAAAAAAAATTTATTTTTATTGTTAAAACTTCTCTATAGTGATCACATGAATTGAAAAATATCGAACATTCTTCGTGAAATCACTTATCACATCTCACACAACGGAATTCATGTCTGTACAGTTATCTATATTTGACGCATTGTCAGTATTATTCTCTTCTTCAATATTTTTTTCTTCAAATTCTTCGACTACAAAATCTGAATAATTTTCATTCGAATGTGTATCTTCCATATGAAAAACATTTACGTTTGGATTTGCCTGAACTTTTAATAGCTTTTCTTATTTTTATTAATTTTTCAAAAGTTTTTTACGTTTTCTAATTCATTAAACATTGATGTACTGGGGATTCAATGACGTATTGGAAATTGGAATAATCTTATTTAGTATTGTATTTGGCGTGTCTGCCATGGGATTCTTTTTATTTATTGCATACTAAAAAAGCAAATAAAACAGGTACCTACACATCCTTTATTTTGTTTTTGTATTTTCTTCAGTTACATATTGTCTTGCTTATTACTCTTCACTTAAGAAAGCGCATAATAGATTTTCACCAATAAAAATAATTAAATAATTAAAAGTAACAAAAAATTCATCTTTCTCCTAAACAGTCAGGTTTATGTCATAAAAACGTAAGAAGAATGTATAAATAGGTCAACTATCTCTGTGAAAAACCGAGCCATATATCCCGAAAGTCAGATAGTGATGACTCACTTGCATTTCAAGAATTTTATAACGACATATCATTGCATGAACTATATCTACAAAATATGAGATCGAGTCGTGTTTCATTCGCAAGGTCATTTCACCCGGAATTACCCTATATACATACGATTATAGTATATATAATTATACTATGTAGTATATATATAATATATACTAAAAATAGTATATAATATATATTGTATATATATATATATACTATATATTATATAGTGTATATATATACTATAATTATATAGTATATACATACTATATACTACAATTGTATGTATACTATAGCTATACATTGTTATAATTATAATTATAATTATAGTTATACATAATTATAATTACAGTTATAATTATAATTATAATCATACATAGTATAATTATAATATAAATATAATTATTGGTATATGTAGTATATATATATATATATATATATATATAATCTATATATATATATATATATATATAATCTATATATATATATATATATATATATATATATATATATAATCTATATATATATATATATATATATATATATATAATCTATATATATATATATATATATACTATAATTTAAAGGATTTTTAAATTAAAAATTCATTGATATCGATCAGACAGATAAAAAGAGAAAAAAAGAAAGATAGTAAGAGAACTCATGAAAATGTATCAAGAGTTTAAAAGAATGACTGTTCGAGTTCTTTAGGTCGAAGATAACTACAGGTGATAGAGGAAGAGAGAGAAAGGAAAAGAAGGAGAACGGGATCCGGGTTACTTTAGTGTTTCTATACTACGCGTACGTGCATACAACAACGACAACAACAACGACTACGACGACGACGACAACGAAGCTCGCAGGAGAGCGGATGTCGTTTCTTGCTCGACTTATTTCGTTCTCCGGTACGACGACTCTCTTCCTTCCCGTTCCTTTGTGTCCATCTCTTTCATTATTTTACACAACTTCCTGTGTCCGAAAACATCGATGGTTTAACCGAGAAAGAGGCAACCTTCTCCTCCTGGGCCAACTCTTCTTTGCACTCTTTTTGCAATGTGCTCTTATATGCGTTGTGTGTGTGTGTGTGTGTGTGTGTGTGTATGCGAATGCGTGTATGTATGCGTATGCATGTATATGTTTATTACCTTTCCTTACCCCTTCCCCTCTTCTTTTTATTCTTCTTTGTTCGCATCTCTTGGCTTTCGCAAAAGGTTAATCTTATTTCCACCTAATGATCGTTATCTCCACTTTGTGTATTAACTTGTATCTTTGGTAATTTACGAAACGTCGTCAGTTGTCCATTAAAACAACAAGCGGTACAGCAAGGAGGATAAAAATTTTCTTTTGAATGTTTTTTTTTCTTTATTTCATTTTATCGAATCGAATTTAAAACCGATGAAATTATTTTATATATTTGTTTATTATTCGCAATTTTTTTATTTTTTCTTGTTCTTTTTTTTTTTCTAAACAATTATCCATATAATAGTATTCGAAGTTTACCTTTTCGTATATTTTTTATTTGATATTTACTTCATGTTTAAAACAAATGTAATTACTTTTTTCTTTTTTATCGAAATAACTATCTATTACCTAACTACCATATATATATATATATATATACGAATTACGATCAAACAAATTTTTCGTTTTCGTTCTATTTTTTTTGATAATAGGTAATAGTATTTATAAATAAGAGCAACAAGCTAGGAAAATTCCGTGCCATGTTATCAAAATTACCATCAACGTGGATGAGCTGTCTCCTATCGATATTCCTACGTACGTTACGTTATGTTACGTTACGTTACGTTCAGAGTTTGTTTGTTTCAGCGGAATTTAAGCTTAGAGATAACGACCAAAAGGGCAGCTGCACCCTGACACCCTGTCGCGCCCATTACTATCGAGGATATGTATATATATACACATGTATATATACATGTATAAACACACACATATATGTACATGTATTGTGCTTCCAACGACATGCATCATGCATCGATATCTTTCGTAACGACGGACCAAGCGAACTATAAATTGCCGCTTGAATATCAAATTTAATTCCTTCTCTCTCCTCTCTCTCTCTCTCTCTCTCTCTCTCTTCTGCCTCTGTCTTACTCATTCCTCTAACAAAGTCTAACTATACATTCTCTACTATTTAAAATATGGATAAAAAAAGAAAAAAGAGAGAGAGAAAAAGAAAATGAATAAGTCATTCGATATCGACAAAAAGAAGAATTCTTTTCTATTAAATAAGTGGGGTTTTTTTTTTCGATTAAGTTTTATGTCCATTATAAGTTGTTATCTTACCCTGAATATTACACTAAATGTAGGGGGAGAATAATAATGATTAAATTGAGAAAGAGTTCTTACTTCGTTGACGATCACAGAACGAACGTCTTTCAAGTCCGTATAAATCGAATTTGTTTATGTAAACGATTCTGCGAAGTCAGTCGTCGCTTAAAAACATCAAGCAACGCATCTGTTTATATTTCCACAGCTTGGTTTCGCATTCGCAGATAAATGTTATCCCTTTTGCAATTCATTAGGATATTAAAGAAGAAAAATAAAAAACAACAAAAGGCAAAAGAAAAGAAAAAAAAGAAAACTAACGGATGCGTGCAATAATTTTGTGCCCGATTTTATGTCGAGAAAGAAAGGAATTTATAGGAGTTGGACGTTTTTTTTTATAACCAGACCGTCTACGGTAATGAGATCTACGATCTTTACGGACATCGAACAGAAGACAACGAATCCCTGAAAATCTTTGCTTTGACCGTTCGGTTAAAGCCATAGCATGACGGTTGACCGTGGCGGTTCAAGCGGCACTTCCGGTGCGCTTACCTGCTCGACCGGAAGCGGCTTTCCTCTACCTTCCCTCTCCCTTCTCTCACCCATCCCTCTTCTTTACATCCTGAGGATCGTTTGTGCATCATTTCGCATTATTTTACATACCATCGTGTATGGTTTCGAAATGCTTTGCCTTGTGGGTTTCCGTTTCCGTAGTTAGCTCGAACAAAATAATAACGAAATTCGATGGGAACTTTTCAAAATGTAAGCCTTATTTAGCCAACGTGCCAATTCTATATTTTTAATGAATGATTAAAAATAAAAATATAATATGTGCGTTAATTAAAACGATAACAAATATACTTCTTCATATTATTCTTATAAACTTGTAAACTTTCTTATTAACTTTGTTATCTACGATAAAAATAGTCAACAAGATGTTTATTTGAATTTTACAAAATAAAAAGAGAATCACGATCTATGTTGAATATAGATCAATGTGCATGATACATCATGAAGATGTCTACTATAACATCGTTTGAAAAACTTATCCACATTTTAGCAAAAGTGATAGTGGATAAATACGAATGTTTCTTTACCGATACGTATTTCTACGGTCGATCAAATGTTACCAAAAAAACCTACCTTACCAACTACGGTACTAATGTTGATACAGAAAAAATCTACATTATCGACGACGGTAAAAACAAAATTCTATATCACTTTTTAATTGTTCACGATTGATACACTTTTATACGGGAAAGTATAAACCTACAATTAATGTATAAGAAGAAAATCAAATCATGAATTAATTTTCTTGTATATAATATGTAAGTTTAACATAAATTCGATCCATTGAAATATCATTTCATTCACATCATGAGCATACGTTAAGAAACATTATTCCTAATATGCATATGTTACACACATGAACGATTAGAATGGCATAAGAAATTTGCATGAATAACTGCTAAATATTTTCCCATAAGAGGAATGCATCGCATCTGTCCACCAGATGATGGCGATTCGTATTAGGATAATGTGTAACACGTTGATAAGAAACGCAGGATGCAGAGATATTTTTAATCGGATAAAAAAGGGAACTAACTAGAGTTATGCTCAATATACTATTTCATCTCCGTCGCTTTACATTCACATCGAGATAACTGTACGATTAATCAAGATCAACCAAAGAGATCTGATGTATCTATTTCTCTGCCTCTTTCTCTCTCTCTCTCTCTCTCTCTCTCTCTCTCTTTCTCTCTCTTTCTTCGCATTAGTGAAACGTGCGCGAACGACACGCGTAAAACGTTAAAAATGTTTTCGCGTTTGTAAGTTCGGTTTATTACCATTTATATACGATCATAGTACACGATCATTCTCATCGACGACTCTCGATTTGTTCTCGTCAGGGAACCATGGGTAATCTTTTCTGTCGACTCATCGAGCTTCGAAATTCGAGAGAGTCAAATACGAGTTAGGAGAACCACTCGTTGCGGCTTAATCGATTATTATTAGTCTCCGACCAAAAAGAAAACCGAATGAAAGATGAGAAATGTTGATAGGAAAGTGCGAACGAATTTCTTCCTCTCATTCAAAAACTACCCCTCTTTAGCGAATGACTCTTATAATTTTCCCCTTTGAGATACAACAAAGGACAATGCCGAAATGATTTTCAGAGACACCATGTTGGCAGTTTTATGGATTCATACGACGCGTGCCGAAACGATTGTTCCTGAATCCTTTTTCTCGTTATTTCTTTCTTTCTTTACGTGCCTCTCTCGTTAAATTGTCTTTGCAATGGGGGACGAACGTGGCTGCTTTCTTCCATCATCCATCTTTCGTAAACCATTCTCCAAGAATCGTTCCATTTTCAAACGGAATACATAAGCTACTATGATCTTGAATGATCGAAACAATATTTTATTCTCCATAGAGATATCATTCAGTTTTTTTCTCGCTTGAATATGCTAAATGTGCTTTCTTTTTCACATAAATAATATCTTTCAAAACGAATCAATAAGGATTATTAACGTACAATCTTCCATCTTTGTACTTTCTCATTTTTCTCGAATTAACGAACGATAAAATATAAGAATCGATTTAAATCTTTGCGACCCCGGAGTTATATTCTCGCTGCGCCGTTCTCAGCTTTCATTCCACATTAATTATAAATTAGCTAATATCAATCAATATCGAGTAGTTTGACGTTATTCCAATATTTTGATATTTAACTAATACAACAACATATATATTTGTATATCCTAAAAATAAACATATTTATATTTATATATAATACATATAATATTTATATATAATACATTTTATAATAAATATTATATAAAAATATATATATATAATTATATTATAATAAGTATTATAATAAAAATAATATTTATTTATAATACAATATTTATATTAACTCTAAACTTAATATTCCATTAATGTTCCAGTATAAATTCGTAATGCGAAATATTTAATATAATTTTAAAGCATGTAATAATGCTTTATTTTTATAGAGCGAAATTCGTTTGTTTTTCCTAATAAAAGTTTATTATTTAGTACAAAAAAATAAGAATTACAGCAAAAGAATAGAAAAAGTTATTTCAAGATGATACAATAGAAAAATCGTAAGTCGCTATAAAGGTTCAATATTTTATAATCGAGAAAAATTCGATCAAAGATATAAGACATTGATGGAATCGAAATGTGTTGTCGAGTCAGACTCAACCTAAGGAACGTAAAGGGTTCGAGAAATATTAAGATATCATTAAAACGATGTAAGTTTTTCGTTTCGATAAACACAAGAAATTAAGTATCAACGAGATGGAAGGAAGCGTATCTTTTGATGATACGGGCACCGGTATCACGTCATTTTTAAATCGCCTTAAGGAAATTTCTTTCGTTAAAATGCCATCATCGTTTTACTCTATATATTTCACTCTTTTAAGAAAAGAAAAAAAAAAAGAGAGTAGATAGTCCTAATATTTATAGAAGAAAAAAAAAAAAGAAAAAAGAGGAGAAACAAATTAAACACCTGAGAAACCTCTTTTCAATTGAAAGAATAATCTTACGGTTCTTACCTGAGAGAAATATGGTGGCAATACGCATCGTTGATCATCCAATCGAGAACTTTGAACTCTCTCCAACAATTCAAAGAGATCTTGCGTTGTTGTTCCCTACGAATAAAAATGTACGAATTCTTTTGAAGATGCCGAAGAAGAAAATAAAAGAGAGAAAAAAAAAGGAGAAAAAAAACAGAAAAAAGAAAAGGAAACAAAAGGAAAGAAAAGAGAAAAAAAGAAAAGAAAAGAAAAGAAAGGATGAAATAAACGTCTATATACATCGGACATACCTTTATCTTATCCTGATTGGTGCCATGGACGTCTTGCCTTTCATCTTCCACAGCGCTCCTCCGAGATTCGGACTCGCAATATACGGACTGTTCGAGCTGCTGTCTCCTGCGAATAGTAAAAAAAAAAAAAGAACAAAATAAATAAAATTGATTTATATAATCAATAAACAAAATGTTTTCTTCTATATTCTATATAAAGTATCTATCTTTCAGAAACATAAAATTCATTCAATTTACGTATTCTTCAGTCGAATTCAAGAAAAACTATGACAAAGTGGATGATAGGTTCCGTAGGGTTAACCATGACGTATTAAAATAATTGCTCATGTGACACTAATTGCAAGAGGAAGAAGAAAAAGAAGAAGTAGAAGAAGAAGAAGAAGAAGAAGAAGAAGAAAAAGAAGAAGAAGAAAAAGAAAAAGAAGAAGAAGTAGAAGAAAAAAGTATCTCGTGTCGAATGAGATAAGCGAGAGGAAGAGAGAGGGGAGTAGCAGATGTAAACGAGAACAGCTCGAAAAGTCGTTAAATACTTGGTAAAGATGATGCCTTCTAATACGAAGATCCCCTACGAAGAAAAGAGAGAGAGAGAGAGAGAGAGAGAGAGAGAGAGAGAGAGAGAGAGAGAGATAAAGAAAGAAATTTGAAACAAACGCATTACATCTGCCGGCAGCTGTGAGTTTTTCAACTTATGACGATGACCTATGTCTTCTCTCTCTCTCTCTCTCTCTCTCTCTCTCTCTCTCTCTCTCTCTCTCTCTCTCTCTCTCTCTCTTTTATCTATCTTTTCGTCTCCACCTTCTCTTCTCTTCTCTTCTCTCGCATGAAAAGGAGAAGGAAATAATAGCTACATTGTAACGTCTCCGAATCATGCAACTCATCTCATTTTGCTGGGCGGTTATAGCTGAGCACCAAACGATCGATCGTATCGTATCGTATCGTATCGTATCGTAACGTATCGTATCGTATCGTATCGCATCGTCGTTCGATCGAACTTCGCAAATAAATTACTCTTCCCTCGTAACCCGTCTCCGGTCCTCTCTCTCTTTCTCTCTCTCTCTCTCTCTCTCTCTCTCTCTCTCTCTCTCTCTCTCTCGGCGAAGTAATATGTAAGAGGAGAAACATGGAAGCTCCGGTAATTCGATCGGCCCTTCTTCACTATCGATAATAACCGAAGCTTTTTCCTATTCGTAATTTTCCTTATTTCCTTAAGTAGTCTTACACACACTTTGAAGATCAGAGGAAAGAAAGGGGAAAAAAAAGAAATACAACGTATAACTATACGAGTAAATTCAAGATGGAAAATAAACGTCGGCTGCGACACGTAGTAAAAACATTTTGATCGATCAGATCGATTATCTTCTTCGTACACAGATAATTGTGGAGATTAAAACAAAGAAGGAAAAAAGAAGAAAAGAAAAAAAGATGTAGACAAAAATTAAGATCGATCAATTATGTAAATAAATTCGAGATTGAAAATGACCAATATGCTACGATATTTAGTAAAAACATTTTGATTAATTATATCTATTATCTTGAATAGGTAATTATTGTGATTAAAAAAAATATAACAAAATATAAAAAATAAAAAAATAAAAAAAAATAAATAAAAATAAAATAAAATGAAGAAAAATATCAGACGAAAATTAAGATCGATCATTGATTTTGGAATAAAAAATAGAAAATATATATGAAATATATAACAATAGTACTTTGGTGAAACTACTTTCTTTGTGATAAATAATAGATCCGAGCTCTTCGAGTCAAATATCCATCCAACATATCTAATCTTATTATTATTCTTAATTTATTTTCATAATAGAAATTAATATTGTAAAATGTTAGGAGGATAAAAGAAAAAAAGGAACGACGAAGAAAATGAAACGTACGATCGAATAAAACCGTATGCGATATTGCGAAAGAAACGTTTCAACGAGAAAGCGAGAAAGCGGGACTACTGACTGACCACGGCCAGTCTCTCTGCCTCAACATGGCAAATCGAAAACGGATCGCGATCTTTCCATGAGCGCCATTTGTCCTCGTATCCGTCGATAATAGCCACATACCGTTTCTTCGTGAATACCATAAAGAGGACTACGTACTTAAAGTAAGTTACATAATTATCGTAAACGTATTCGTAGACTTCTAATTGATCGAATAAAATATAAATAATAAATATCAATAGATTATTAATTATTCGAAGAAACTTTTGATTCTCTTATAGATAAATTAAAATATCTTTAAAGGACGAAATCTATTTTCTTTTCTCTTTTGTTTGTTTTTTGGTTTTTTTTTTTTTTAACATAAATAAATAAATACATAATAATATAATTTATTGAATATGTCAATTTATTAAATATAATATCTACCTTATGGTCAATGAGATATTATTGAATTATTTATATTTTATATCGAAATAAATAATATCTGTATTTCTTATTAATAATTCTGCTATTACATCCTAAGAACATAATATAATATAATAATGTCGAAACTTTTATGTAAAAAGAAAAAAATGTCGATGTTTTTTATACAAATATAAAATTATTAAAATTCTTGTCTTATTCAATAAATACGTAGATATATATCGTATAAAGAGTAATAACGTAATTATACTGTCAAATTAACGAATGAAAGATCGTCAAGATCTATTTTACAAATTTACGACTCATTCATTTTCGTACTAGCACACACACACACACACACACACACACACACACACACATTCAGCTTTTTATCCTTATTAGAACCCTTACCAAGTATCCTACCGTAATTTCGTTACTTATTCTATTTCCATGATCCTTCGTCAGATTCGTGCTACGAGTAGTTTGATTACGGCAGATTAATTAGCGCAATTTTCGTTCTAAAAATAATATCTTCAAACAATTATTTTATATCGTTGAACTCAATTACCAAGAACAAATATGATCTAATTTTTCGAATAATTTGTTCGGGAATTAGATTGAAGAAAAAAGACATGGTTTAACGATCTCATATATAATATATATAATATACTTTTCTCGTTTATCTATCTAATGATTCTTTAATTTTCAAATAGATAGCAATCTTATAGCCAACTTGTAACGATAATCGCGCATACTTTCGATTGTGAATCCTTTATGGAACACTGTACATATCTAACGAGAATTAATTGATTTATATAATATGAGAAATCAAAAGAATAAAACTAAAGATGATTTTCATTTGAACGAAAGTTAAAGGATACCTTGGGCATTTAAGATAATACTTTAAATTCTTAAAAGGAAAAGTCATGAATTACAAGGGACATTTTCAATTCGTTACTAACTATATCTAATGATTAATACGAGTATTATTCAATCTCCTTTTCTCTACTGATATATACACAAACGCAAACACATAATAGACATATACATATGAAAACAAGTCTTAACAAATTTACGATTGTCGTTTGCCGAGACCAGTCAACCAATGAACAGATCGTCTCGCAACGATGCTTAGGATTTTCTTCGGACGTATATATATACATATATATATATACACATATATATATGTATATATATGTATATAAATGTATGTATGTATTTATCTATGTATATATATATATATATGTATGTATGTATGTATTTATCTATGTATGTATATATGTATACATTTGTATATATATATATATATATATATATATATATATATATATGTATATATATATAAGTATATATAAAATATATGTGTATATATGTATGTATGCATTTATCTATGTATGTATGCATTTATCTATGTATATATATATGTATATATATAAGTATATATATAATATATGTATATATATATGTATGTATGTATTTATCTATGTATGTATATATGTATGCATTTATATATATATATGTATGCATTTATATATATATATATATATATATATATATATATATATATGTGAATGTAAATTGGTAAACGTAACATCTTTTCTGAAGGAATTCCTTCACAGATTAGTTCGGTCGACATTGGTTGGTTTTGTTAGTGAATTATTAATTGTTCTGTAAGTAAGTTAAGTTTCTAAACTCGACATTGTCATTGTTTTCTTGCATATAATATTGTTTATACCAGAGAAACTTTTTTTATATCGTTACTGAAGTTTTTCTGTTCGGGTTTTTTTTCTTTTTTCTTTTTGATTAAAACACATTTTCCTAAAGACAGATAGAGATAGATGAATAGATAGATAGATAAATAGATAGATAGATAGATAGATAAATAGATAGATAGAGAAAGAAAGAGAGAGAGAGAGAGAGAGAAAGAGAGAAAGAGAGACAGAGAGAGAGAGAGAGAGAGAGAGAGAGAGAGAGAGAGATGAGTATAACTGAGATTTCGAGTTTTTAGGAAGGATAGAAAGAAACATGTTTGAAAGAAGAACGTACATAGGGAAGGGGAAGAGGAAGAGAGAGAGAAATGTCTCAACAGTTTGCTTCGACGAAAAGATGAACGACATTTCGTTCCCATAGGATCGAGTTTCTATACATTACATATACAGACAAACACAAACACACATACATAAATATAACTCTCATACACATGGGATACATATGGGTGGAAGCTCGGTTCCATGAAATAATGGCGGCCGCAGGCAATTAAACGAATTAATTTAATAAGCGTCCGCGAACCGTCGAACGACGAAACCGACCGGATACGAATAATGGGAGCAGTCGAAAAATTGGCAGACGTCACCCTTCTGTCCTTCGGCCTTTTCCCAATAAAACGTATCTCCGATAAAGTAACAGTAGTACCCAAGTCAGCCAATTTTGGTCCATCGACCTTTCACATATACCGGAAGAACCTTTCAACGATGTAAGTTTCGATCGGGCTATAATGCTTTTTCCTTTTTTGCTTTTTCTTTTCTTTTTCTATAAGTTGAAATTATATACTTGTTGAATTTCCCAAAATTATATAAAAACCAGATATATAAAATATTTTTAGGAAGCTACTTTCTTCTCACGAAAATTTTTTATAGGAAAAGTGAAAAGGAAGTAAGAATGAAAAGAATACGTATATATATACATATTGTAAAAATATCTAAGTTATTACATAGGAGATATCTAAAATGTTCTTATTTGTATATATGTACATAGATAGATACGT